GGTAACGGGTGAGCGCTGCTGAAGAGTCCCAAACCAGAATATGACATATCTACCCAGTATTCTTCAGGTAGCGGTTTTCATATCCGCTTGATTACTATTCCAACTTTTTTGAATTTAACTTCCACTTGATCCTATTAACAGTAATTTTATGTTCTGGTGTTTTAGTACGAGTCAAGGTCACCAGGCTAAATTATTGATCTATTGGATAAAGAGGTGATTTTCTACAAAACAGTAAGAAGACATAGTTTATCTGAAGCGTGTAGTGTTGTATTTGCGCAACATATTTCGAACATTCCGATCACACACACGAGTAGTTGCCATGCGCATAGAGAAGTCAATATAGCAATAAATTATTGCAATACAGATAAAATTGTGTACAGGTCAAGAAGTAAGGGTGTGGAGTAAGACAAAATAAAACGGGTAGTGGGTGAAAATATCATTAAGTAAACTGAATTTTGATTCTAAATTGAATTACCAAGGCAGAATCAAAGTAACAACAAATAAGTTTTCGGACACATATGACAGGTCTACTAAGCCTTTTTATGGACAAGCCTTCAACGAATTTAAGTATATGACCGAAATTTGTTTTGTATATGGGTTTAATGGTATTCCTGAAATCAACGATGTTTTGTTATCTTTACCAATTGGCCAACTTGACAACAACGTAAACAGAGTTACCAGTTCATTCTTAGGAAGGATGATTAAGTTGTTGTATGTATAAACTGACACTGTAAATTCTTCTGGTTTAATATCAGCATTTTAAAAAAGCAAAACGTCAATAAAAACAACAAAAACAGCATCCTATGTTTATTTATTATTGTTTGATTATTCTCTTGAGTTCCGAGTGCAACATAGGACTTTAACAACACATCTCCACTTTGTCCTATCTTCTGTCGTCCTCTTCAGCCTGGACCACGACTGACCAAACTCTTTCATCTCTTCCTCGAACAATCTCCTCCATGTCACCCTCGAACTGACGACCCACTCATCGCTTCCCATTTGGATTCCATTCAAGAGATGGCCTGGCGCGCGATGTCATTAGACTGTTTCCTCAATGTATGCCCGATCCATCTACTTTTTCCCACACACAATTGTAGAAAAATTGGCTCTTGGTTGGTTTGTTCCCAGCCACAGTTCCTTGATCCTCAGTATGCAGCCAGCGAAGGCAGCTGTTGATGAAAGTCTGCAACCTGTTGGAAATCCTTTTCCTGACATGAAGTGCAAGTTTCTCACCCACATAGAAGGAGCGACTTGAAACTGGTGTTGAAAATGTGAATCTTTTTCCTTGTACCCAGCGTAGAAGATTTCCAAACTAGTTTCAGGTTGATGAAGGCATATCTTGCCTTTCCGATTCTGACTGACTTCGACATCTTCATCCCTTCCACCCGTAGTTGAAACGATGCTTCCTGGCTGGATAAGTGAAGGAGATAAGCTCCATTAAGTCTCTCCCACTGATGGTGATTGTTGGCGTTCGTTGGTTATCTTCATCACCTCCATGTTCTTTATGTTCACTTGGAGTCCTGTCTTCGCTTCCAGTCAGCTTCTTCAGCCAGTTTATTCGTTTTCGCCTGAAAACCTTCGAGTTTGTGTGACATTGAACACAAGTCATCCACCCAAAAAATCCAAATCTTCTAGAGTCTTCTTATCGGTCGTCCAGCGTATTCCTTTCTCCCCGCTCTCCAAGTACAGTCTTACGCATAATTCAGTCTACTACAATTCAGAATATCACCGGTGACAATAGGCAGCCATGTCTTACTCCTGTATGCACTTCGAACGCCTCACTGAGTTTACGGTTATCGACCACCTAACACGTGGCACTGTCACATAGCCGACTGTTGAATGAGGCTGATAAGCACTTTAGGTACGCCATGGTGTTGGAGTGGTTTCCAAATTACTACTCAGTCAACGTTGTTGAAGGCCTTTCTGAAGTCGATGAAGTTGAGACAGGGTGAGGTTTGACTGCCATTCTATGCTTTGGTTTGCGTGACGATGCATTGAGCTGCGATTTGACCAGCACAAGATTTGCTTTTCCTGAATCCAGGTTGTTCCGATTGATGGAGTTTTGTATCCAGTGTATCCTTTATTTCCTCCGGGATGATACAACTCAGTATTTTACTTGGCGTGGATAAGAGCATGATTCCACACCAGTTTTTGCACAAGCGTAAGTCTTTGGCAGCTTGACGAGGTAGCTAGCCTTTCTTCCAATCGGTAGGAAGCTTTGCTTCTTTCCAAACCTTTTGCAGTAATGGCGTGACCACATCTGCCATGGTCTCTTGGTCCGTTTTTAGTATTTCAGGAGTAGCTCCGTCTGGTTCTGCTGCCTCCTGAGCCTTCAGTAGCTTGATCGCATTCAGAATTTCTGCTTTCGTTGGAGGATTAGTGTCGACTGGGAGGCAATTCTGTGCGTGCTGTCGGTGGTGTATTTCTGGACGAGTTGCAGGTGATGATGAATTTAAGAGTACTTAGAAGTGATCAGCCCATTGTTTTATTTGTCGCTCCTCCTTTGTGATCAGGTTCCCTTGAACATCTTTTATTAGTTTCATCGTCTGGGTTGATCTCTTTCCAAACAGAGACTTGGTTATCTGATATAGTGTCCTGATGTCTCTTTTGCCTGCTGCCTGTTCTGCTTCAGTTGTTGGCCAGTTTGTTGTAGAATTTTCTTTTGTCTCTTTTAGCACTTTCCTTCAATTCTTTATTCAGTGCAGTGTACACTGAACTCAGCTTCTCCTTCTGTTATCTATCTTTGCATAGAGTTGTCTTATCTTCCACCATCCTCCTCTTCTCGATTAACTTCCAGGTATCCGTTGAGAACCATTCTTTGTCTTGTATCTTCCTTATTCCTAGAACGGTTGTACACGTTTCCTTAAATATCGCTTGCAGAGAGTTCCAATATTCTTCCACGCAGGTTTCTTCAGTGATGTCACGCGGCGTTTCCAACTTTGCTCTGATATTAGTAGTGAAGTTATCCCTTGTAGTTTTGTTCTTTAGTTTCTGAATGTTGAACTAGAATCTTCGTCTGTTTCCAGTTGTTCCGGAGGATTTCAGCTTCATCTTGAAGGTTCCTTGAACTAGATAATGGTCTCAGCCCACATCTGATCCCCTTCTCCACTTTGTATACAGCAGACTCTCCGCGTCTCCACTTCCTTGAGATTGAGAAGAAATCTATCTTGTTCGTAGTGTGTTCGTCAGGCGAAACCTTGCGCTTGCACATGCTGCCTCCAGTTACCGAATCATTGAAAGCGCAGAAGTCGGCGGATAGTTCTCCGTTCTCATTCATTTCTCCGAGTCAGAGCCTCTCGACCCATGGTGAGTTTTCTCCCTGTATTATCTGCTCCCAGTTAGGTAGGCATTCATATCGCCCATGAGGATTTTGATGTCACCATTTGGGAATTTGTCCATTATTGCTTATAGTTGTCTGTAAAAATCCTCCGTCTTCTCTTGTTCCGCGTTGTTTGTAGCTGCGTAGCATTGGATAATTTTTACCTTCCTTCCCTCCTTTAGCGTTGAATCTCGCTGTCATGATCCTGGATGATACTGCTTCCCACTGTATTAGAGCTTTAGCTTCCGCCGGCAACACCATTATAGCCATTCACTTCCTCAGTGTGCTCGTAGTTTTCGTCTTGGTGGCCAGAGTAGATTACTGACTCTGCAGATACCTAGCACTTCTAGGCCATATCTTCACATTTCATCGGCTACCTGGGCGAACTTCCCAGTCTCATACATCCCCATTCTTATTCTTGCTTTTATCGAGAGAAGACATATCGGCTGGCTGACTGGCTTCCCGGAAGCTTTCACCATTTCGCGTCATTTCTTCTCCCCGATTCCAGCGAAGAATAAGATTGTCAAATCCCTAAAAACCAACACTTGAATAAGATTTTCATTTGAAGTTTTTGTATTTCTAATATATTTTTTGTGTGTTGAAGTTTCTCTAATGGTTTGATAGGTTTAGTGGTGTAGGGTCGCTAGATCTACTTCCAACCCTTCCTAAACACCCGGGATTAGGACCGGCCAGAAAACTAGCAAGCTAGTTAACTAGGCGAGGTTGCATCCTATTTTGTTTTTAATTAATTCACCGGGAAATAGAAAAAGAACTTTTATAATCATGAGGTGGTTCTATCGTCATATTTACAATACAATATTATGCAATAAAAAGAAAACAATCTCCATATCCCTAATTATCTTCGATGCTCACGAGTTTGATTGTTTTCGAATTTCACCGAACTGTTTACTTATCATTTCAAAAGTTTAGTGCAGAATTCACTTTTCTAAAAACAACAAACTCAGAGATAAACAAATCCCCTTGTCAGTCAAAGCATTCGCAAAATAATCGCTGTGTATATGATACCATAGAAATGAGTTTATTATTTTTCTCTCTCCCCCTCTTTCCCTTTTTATGATATATATATGTATATATAAAGACGGTGAATGTATACAGTTATCTCCTATAAATGCTTCCCTCCAAATCTGGTACCTCTGTCTATACGGATTCACGCAAACTAACCTTTGAATACTGTTATTTACTGACTAATACAACGAATGCTTCATATTTAGCCAAATGTATTACAGGTACTTTATTGGGAATATTTTCCGGATACATATTTCCCATCATAGCCAGCATAGCACTGATCACGAATTCAATATTAATCTATGTATTTTTTAAAGATAGAGGAAGTATGCCTCGTCATATGATTTATATGATATGCGTGTCAATATCTGGCATTCTGACAGATATCTCCGTTGGTTGGCTTTGGTTATTCCCAGCAAGAGGATTGCCGTATGCAACGAAGGGCAGGATTTATTTTTCTCCATTTCTATTTTCATCCCTTTTATGTCGGCTTCACCGATTATTTCATTCTTTCACATCGACTTCAATTGCGAATCTGCTTGTGCTGGCTGCCATTGACCGATGTCTAGCGATCAGTATCCCTGTCAAATTCTCTCAAGTACAGTCCCATCATGCTTGGTATGCTTGTGGTGTTGTCTGGGCGTTAAGCTTTTTCATGATGCTGCCGTTTACATTTTTTATTCAATGGAGTAGTAAAAGAGCTGGACGATTTTGTTGGGTTCTACCCAGGGATCAATTCTTTCATATTTATCATACATTATTTTCTAATTTTGGACCCGTTCAAACCTTGATACTATTACTTTTAAATGTCACCTTTTTAATGATCACTAAGAGGTATTTACAACAGAGTCGCTTCCATCCACGCGGAGGTAATCATCTGGTGAATCGAAAAGAAATACGCATTTGTCTATTGGTTTTAATACTGTCTACCTTTTATATTGCTATATCAATACCACAGGCTATTTGTTTCCTGTTAGTTCGTACATCCTCAGCCAAGCTGTCAAAACTAAAGAAAATGCTTGCATATGATATTGCCCATTTCATGTGGTCATTAAATGCTATCCGGGAAATCGCCGACTTCATTGTTTATGCGGTTTACTTTAAACCGTTGACTGATCTGTTATTCAACTGGTTGCTGAACATTAGAGCGTTGAGCAGATTAGCTTTAAGATTCATGAAAAGTGGATCACCGAATCGAATACAAGAAGAATGACAAGAAAAAGAAAACAAGAAAACAAACAAATAAACAATCTTTTGACATATCATCTATAGCCTATTATAATTTATCAGCTTGTTTATTTGAAATATTATTTTTTCATTGCAATTGGTTTGTTTGTTTATTTGCAAACTTCTTAGGATGAATGGAAAGGTCAGAAAATGAAATTTCGCATCTGCGTAATTGCTAGTTAGTAAAGCGGGTATTTAATTGTTATTCTTTCATATTTTGGACTTGAATCTTTGACACTTATTATCCGTGTAACTAGATTTACAACTTGATCATTCCAGTTGTCTGGCGATCCCCATTAGATTTGATAAATAAAACATCCAAGTGCTCATCAATGGTAACCTGTCTGAAAACACAATTAAGTTTAGGAATCATGACTTACTTAGATATTACCAAAATGAATAAATCATAAGCCAAGTAACGTATCTTAATTCTGAAAATGGATTGTTTATATATTTGAGATAGCAAACAGTAACATAAGATGATATGCTCAGGTAGGTAGTTACCTGGGATTCTAGTGGGAAGTCGTGACCAGTAGGATGCAGCAGGTCGGGTGTGAGGACAAATACTCACCGCTGTCACGAATTGACAGAGGCTGGAATCCATAGGCTGGCCATTGGATCGGGTCCCAGTGGCTTAGCGGTGTACGAGCTCGCCTTGCAACCAGAAGGTCCTTGGTTCTAACCCCAGTGGGGGCATAGTGCTGAAGAGTCTCAAACTAGGAAGAAACAGCTGTCCAGTACTCTCAGGTTTTCCAATGGTTCTCTGACTGATGTCAGCTCATAATGAAATCCTACAACCAAAAAAACTAAATCCCTACAAAAACCAATACTTGAAAATAGAAATTTGATAAAAATGAATAGGAAATAGTGTATGATAGTACATAGTACTGCTAATTATAAGTAGTTTGGTACCTCTCCTCACATCAACTATTAGTGATCTCAACACTAAAAGGCTGTTTCCTCCCCCTTTGGAAGAAGAGTTCCTCACTAGTGTGCTCGATTTCAATCAACTCAGAGAGTTCTGAATCACTCAAATTCTGGCTAGTTGCTTGAACAAACTAGCAATACATGAAATCGACCACTCAAAGTGCAAACTATGAGGTTGGAGGTGAAATTTCACGGTATTTTCCTTTGAAAACCGAAAATATTCAGATCACAAGATGGTGTGATCTGCTTGATAATATGAATGACTTTCAAGAAGTGTATGATGCTGCATGACACACAGATTTGCTATGACCAGCTGGAAATCCCTGACACCATTCAGGGGTCTATTCCAGAAAGATTTTTAAATTTTATGTAGATATTAATTATTTTTCTTGCATAATGTTCCTGTGAATCGGTCAGATTTGACTAGCATTTAGAAGTGAGGAATTCAACATTTATTCCAAGAGTACTTATCTCTAGAGAAAATCAATTCATGATATTTTAAGGAATCAACATAGAAATTTCATCTGGACTGCTGTCACGTGTAAATGCTATATGATGCGCATAATTCATTAACATAGAGTCAAATGAGTTTACCCAATCAAAAGTAGACAAGTACCCTACTCCTCATGTCAACCCCAACTGCATCTACCAATTCATACGCATACTTGCCGCAGCAAGTATACAGGGAGGAGAACATTCACTAGATTTTCCAAGCATATCCCTTAAAGTCTCCGTTTCAAATGCTGCAAGGTAACGTTCTCAAGTGCAGTTGCCAGACAACACCCAATTGACACGGGACATACAGTGGAAATTAGTCAGGCTTTCAAAATAATCAAAGCACAAAGAAAACCATGGTTACTTCGATTCGCAGACGCCGTTGCTATTATCAAAAGACTTCAACCCAATCTCTGTATAGAGAATGATAGTTTGACTAATCTCCCATTACCCTGGTAACCTCAATTGTTTTGTTCTGTTGCATAAAATTCGATTTTGATTTTCACTTACTCAGTTGAACTCATTATTATGTTTCCAAATCTACTAAATTACTTTGTCTACCTTGTAATTTTACTTTACTATTCACCACCACCCTCCTGAACTGTCCATCGCAATATGCATAAATTCATCTTGTTGTTATGTCTTGTATTTTGTCTCTAGTCCATCCTTGTTGTGCAAGCAACATTTGAACTCTACTTATGCCCTGTCTAATCACACTAAAATTAGTAGTTACTCTTATAACACTGAATAATTCGTTTGATTACATCATCTTTGCAGTTGTGTTGCCTATACTTTCTATCAATAATCCGAAGTTATTGTAAATAGTATGTTCAGACACCATTTTGCAGCTTATAATTGATGTCGTTTAGAGTGTAAGCAGCTGAACAAAGAATCCACGAAATCAAACGAGCTCGTTTTATCCTTGCTGCAAATATGTCCGTTCTTTCTCTGTCCAAAATGAGTTCGCTCATTTTTATGATTCAGTTTTAGGGCAAAGTTAAACTATCGTAAACTAGTAAAAATAAATCTAATCCTTACAAACCAACTATAGAAAATAAACTATCATAGACAAGATCGCAGTGACCTTGAACAACCAATCAGAATTTGGATGAAACAAATTCTCATTATCGTTGAAAAATACACTAAAACCACTGCGAACATGATGTTACACTATATAGTTGTTGCGTGTGTTGTAAGAATGTTTCTCGGTTACTACACAGATCATCTATAGAGAAATCATATCATGCGTGATAGATGAATTCATCCACGTGACTGTTTACAGACATGATACTTTGAAATTAATTGATACTTCCGATACTGTTCTTTAACCTACTCCTTACTCTTACCACAATCCTAAATTTAACCCTAATTCTAGCCTTAACCCAATACCCTAAACCTTAATTTTAAAAGCCATAACCCTACCTAACAGTATGGACTTACAGAGTAAGGACCTAGAGAATAAGTCCAATACTGTATCTAACATCTCCAAGTCCAAAAAAGCAGGCAGGATTTGATTTTGGAATGACTCTTCATAGCGTTCCCTGTATCTGATTGGTTGGTGAAGATCAACCTTTCAAAGACCTTGGTTTTGGTTATGATACTTTAACTTCGCCCTCTCAGTTTTGGACTGGAGTATCAACACAGTAATTTAACCACATTCTACGCATGTGATTATCAAGTCTCCTAACCCTAACAATAACACTAATCTTTCTTTAACTCGACACTAACGTGCGAATACCCCTGAACTAATACCAGTCTAGAAAAAATCCCCACTTAGACATTTAGAAAACAGAAATATTGAGCGAATAAATATTTACTTTTCAATTAGATCCTCATCTCTGGCTCTACTCTAATATATATAAAAATTTTATTACAATACACAACAGTTTACCAATCCAGTGGCATTGATATGTTTGTTAACAATAATTAAAGTGTCAAAATGTCAATGGGTTGGTAATTAACGAAGAAAATCAATACACATTTAAAAGGTAGAAATGGTTAGAATAAATTAATTTTTACATTGGGCGTACAATTAGGCAGGTTCATCGTCGTATTTCCGAACATCATCCAACATGGTTAAGCAAGGGACAAACAAGATCTATTCGCAGTTCTATTTTAGCACACCTTGTTGATACTGAGCATAAGGTCGATGTTAATACTGCATTTAAAATTATTTATCGCATTCCGACTAATCTTAATTTTGCTCTGCGAGTTCGTCTTCTACAGACGGCTGAAGCAATCAGAATCCACCTGAAGAAGCCAAGCCTATGTGTTCAGAAGAAATTTGTACAGCCACTTTCCTTACCGTGGCCATCGTTACAAGAAAGCATAAACAGGACTACGTCGCCCCCCTCCCCCTAAACCTATAAAAATTATAATTGTCCAAATTATTTTATTTTTATTTTGACCACTTCATCTTTAACTACGTGCTATCCTTGTAAAATTAATTTATTCTAACCATTTCTACCTTTTAAATGTGTATTGATTTTCTTCGTTAATTACCAACCCATTGACATTTTGACACTTTAATTATTGTTAACAAACATATCAATGCCACTGGATTGGTAAACTGTTGTGTATTGTAATGAAATTTTCATATATATTAGAGTAGAGCCAGAGATGAGGATCTAATTGAAAAGTAAATATTTATTCGCTCAATCTTTCTCTTTTCTAATCTTAATCTAACTCGAACCAATCCTAATGTCATCGTCATCAGGTCCACTTAACCCTAATCTGTCCTTAGCCTAAACCGTAAATTACTCTTTCTCAAACCAAACCTGAAACTTGTCAAATATCTCATTTAATAACATAATACTTCATTGAGCATATTTTATTCATGATTACAATATATATAGTGAATCTTGGTAAATTAATGTTATTCACCAGGAATCACTAAATTGCTTACTGAGTGCTTCAGGGTCACTGGTACCGTCGCACGGCGTAGGTACTTACTAGTGCTTAAGGTTTAACTTGTCCTTTACACGTTTGTACTAAAAATTTGTGTCGCAAAACATTTCGATTGCTTCACTCTCTTTCACCTATACATTTTTTTCAACTTTCACTATTGTCGTTCTAATGAAAGGTGAACTTATTAAAATATCAGTTCGGAAACAGAGGCAAAATATTTTAAAAATCAGTAAATGCGTGGCTACTTTACTACAATAAAGTGAATAAAATGTAATTATAATCATATATTTCATTTATTAGTGCGAGAAAGAAGTCATTTCCAAAAACATCCTGATATTATTCGTAGCAACAGCCTTAATCTTAACAATATTTATGCAATCTAAAACATTTTTAGCGGAGTTTATTGCATCATATTTTCTCTTCATGCACGATATTCAAATAAAAAGTTTGATTGGTTACAGGATTTCATCATGAGCTGACATTGGTTAGAGAACCATTGGAAAACCTGGGCGTACTGGACAGCTGTTTCGTCCTACTTTGGCACTCTTCGGCAGTATGCCCCCACTGGGGTTAGAACCATGGACCTTCTGTTTGCAAGGCGAGCTTGTATACCATTAATACTTCCCGAAGACATTGGCTAGCGGTTGTGCTATATAG